CAAGTCTGCCCTTCCTCTCAGTCATGGAGTACAGAGTTCTCTTGCATCTTATAGTCACTCTTTTTAGAGTTAATAATTCATATTGTGAACTTCTCTTGTTGTATGTAGCTTCTACTTCCTTTTGGACCGAGACTGCTACACCAAGATAGATCATATCCTGGACCATAAAACATATCTCAGCAAATTTAAAGAATTGAAATCATATGGAATGTGTTCTCTGACCATAACGGAATCAAACTGGAAATCAATAACAGAAAGATGACAAGAAAATCTCCGAACACTTGGAAACTAAACAACACACCACTAAATAACCCACATGTCAAAGAGGAAATGTCAAGGGTAAACAAAAAATACATTGAATGAGTGAAAATGAAAAAAAAAACATCTCAGAATTTGTGGGACACAGCTAACGCAGTGCTCAGAGGGAAATTTATAGCATGAAATGCTTACATTAGAAAAGCGAGTCTCAATCAATAATCTAAGTTCCTACCTCAATAATCTAGTAAAAGAAAAGTGTAATAAACTAAAAGCACACCAAAGGAAGGACATAATAAAGAAAAGAGAAGAAAACAAAAAATTGGGACAGAAAAATAACAGAGAAAGTCAATGAAGAAAAATCTCATTCTTTAATAAGATCAATAAAATTGATCTTTAGAATGTCTACAAAGATTAAGAAAGGAAAAATGAGAGAAGACACAAATTACCAATATCAGAAATGAAACAGGGCTATCACTACAGACCCGCAGGTATCAAAAGGGCAATAGAGGAACTCTGTGAATAACTCTATTCACATAAATTTGACTACCTAGATGAGAGGGACCAATTCCTCCAAAAGCACAAACTACCAGACTTCACCAAATATGAAATAGATAATTTGAATAGCACTATAACAATTAAGCAGACTGAATTTATAATTTTAAAACTCCCAAAAAAGAACTCTTCAGGTCCTGATGGTTTCACTGAAGAATTCTATCTAATGTTTAAAGAAGAATTAACGCCAATTCTACAAAACCTCTTCCAGGAAATAGAAGAAAAGAGAATGCTTCCCAATTAATTTTATGAAGCTATGTACTATCCTGACACCAAAACCAGACAAAGATAATACAAAAAAGAAAACTGCAGAGAAATATCTTTTATGAATATAGACACAAAGTCTTTCACAAAATATTAGCAAATAGATTCTGCAATATAAAAAGAATTATACACCATGGCCGAGGATTCCAGAGATGCATCAGTGTAATCCACCATATTAAAGTAAAGAAGAAAAATCACATGATTATAACAATTAATGTAGGAAAAGCTTTTGACAAAAGTCAACACCTGTTCATCATAAAGTCTCTCAGAAAATAAAAATAGAGGGAAGGCTTCTCAACTTATGAAGAACATCTACAAAACATTTACAGCTAACGCTATACTCAATGGTGAAAAACTGAAAACTACCTTCCTAAGATCAGAAACAAGACAAAGATGCCCCTCTTATCACTCTTATTCAACATAGTACTAGAAGTTCTAGCCAGTGTGATAAAGCAAGAAAGGAAATAAAAGACATACAGCTAGGAAAGGAAGAAATAAAACTGTTCCTATTTGCAGATGACATGATTGCCTACATAGAAATCCCAAGAAATCTACAAAAAACTTCCTAGAACCATTAAGTAAGTTGAGCCAAGTCAGAGGATCCAAGATCAACATACAAAAATCAACTCTACTTCTACATGCTAGTATGAACAGTTGGAAACCAAAATTAAAAATACAATGCCATTTATAATCACTCAAAAAATGAAATGCAAGGTATAAGTCTAACAAAACACATACAGGACCTATATGCTGGAAACCACAAAACACTGATGAAAGAACTCAAAGAAAATCCAAATAAATAAACAGACATGTTGTGTTCATGGATTGGAAGACTGAACATAGTAAAGATGTCGATTCTCCCCAAACTGATATACAGGCTTAATTCAATTCCTATCAAAATCCCAGTAAGATTTTTTGTGAGCATAAATAAGATTATTCTAAAATTTATATACAAATGTAAAGGAACTAGAATAACTCAATTTAGAAAAAGGAAAATAAAATGGGAAGAATCAGTCTACCTGATTTGAAAACTTATCATATAGCTGCAGTTAAGACCGTGTCATGCTGGCAGAGGTATAGACACGTAGATCAATAGAACAGAATTTAAAAAAAAAAAAAAAAAAACAGAAATAGACCCATATGAATATACCCAACTGATTTTTAACAACTGTTCAAAAGCAATTTATTGGAGGGAGTATAACCTTTTCAATAAATGGTGCTGGAGTAATTGACATGAACAGGCAAAAAGATAAACCTCACACCTTAAACGAAAATTAACTCAAAATGTAAAACAGACTTAAACATAAAATGTAAAACTAGAAAGCTTCAGAACAAAAACATACGAGAAAATCTTCAGGATGTAGGACACAGGAAAGAGTTCTTAGACTTGACACCAAAAGCATAAGCCATAAAAGGAACAATTGATAAATGGGACCTCAACAAAATTAAAAAGATTTGCTCTTTGACAGCCCCTGCTTTTAAGAAGATGAAAACACCAGCCACAGAGCAGGAGAAAATATTTGCAAACCACATATCTGACAAAGAACTCATATCTAGAAGATATAAAGAACTCTGAAAACTGAACATTAAAAAAGTCCAACAACAATCAAATTAGAAAATGAGCAAAAGACGTGAAGAGATGTATCGCCAAAGAAAATATACAGATGGAAACAAGCTCACAAAAAGATGTTCAACATCATTAGCCATTTGAGAAATGCAAATTAAAACCACATGAGATATCACCGCACACCTATCGGAGTGGCAAAGATAAAAAATGATGACAACACCAAACGCAGGTGAGGATGTGGAAAAACTACATACATTGCTGGTGTGAATATGAAGTGGTACAACCATTCTGGACAAGAGTTTGGCAGTTTCTTAAAAAAAATTAAACATGCAATACCATTCAACCCAGGAATTGCACTCCTGGGCATTGATCCCAGAGAAATGAAAACTTATGTTCACACAGAAGCCGAATGTTCATAGCAGCTTTATTTGTAAGAGCCAAAAACTGGAATCCGCCTAGATGTCCTTCAACACGTGAACGTTTAAACCAATTGTGGTACATCCGTGTCATAGAATATTACTCAGCAATAAAAAGGAGGTAACTATTACATGGAACAATTTGGTTGAATCTCCAGACAATTATGCTAAGTGAAAAAGCCAATCACAAAGGCCACTCACTGTATGATTCCATTTATATAACACCCTTGAAATGACAAATGATGGAACCGGAGAACATGAATGGTTCCCAGGGGTGAAGAGGAGGGGAGCAGGAGGGAAATGAGTGTGGCCACAAAGGATCTTTGTGATGATGGAAATGGTCTGTATCTGACAGTATCAATGTTAATATCGTGGTTGTGATTTGTAAGATGTTACCATCGAGGGCAACTGGGTAATAGGTACACAGAATCTCTCCGGATTATTTCTTACAACTGCACGCCAATCTACAATTACGTTCAAATGAAAATGCTAATTTATAAAAATAATAAATGGTAAATCAATAAATAAAAAGAGAGAGAATTGAAACAGGAACAAACTTCCCAGCATGTGAGTCAATGTTATTTAATGCAGCATCTATACTTTACCTAAACCATGTCCCTAGCCCTGAGGGCCACAAAGCTACCCTTGGAGAAACATTGACTCAACATATATCATTTTCCTTGACATAGTTTTCTTTGTATCAACTCACTTTTCCTTATATACCCTTACATTCAGAGGACATTTTACATCACTACTATATATGGAAAAGCTCTACCATTGCTCTGAATACACATCATAATGAAACTAGAACTAAAGCAACGAAAACCTGCAAACACCTCTCAATCGGTTGCAAGAAAGCAGAGAAAAGGATTCCCCAAATGAGCTCTGCAGAAATTCCTAAATTTGACCAATCCAGGGGAGCTCAGCCATCATTAGGTCCTTTTGGGGTGACTCTGCTCAGGTGGGTCAACAGCTTCTCCTCCTTCACAACCATCCCCCTCTCCAGACTTCCAGGTCAAAGTGCAACTGAGGAAGCAAATCTTCATCCCCTGGCTTCTCAGAATCTTCCCACAGCCCCCAAGATTGCAGCAAAAAATAAACACTTGCTCTAATTAGTATTAGCCTTTGTGATCCCAAATGCTTGCTCTTAGGGGTAATATTAGGGTGGTTAAAAGGCACATTATTTTAAACCGGCCCTGACATTTATTCTGTTTTTCCCAGTCAACCGATGTTATCGTTTTTCTAAGTTGCATCCTGTCCCCCGTTGCATTTTGTCAGATAACATCTCTGGTTTCATTCTTACAGAAAGATTTGCTACGGGAACCGAGGAGCCCGTTACCTCTCAGAGCATGGGTTCCATGGCTTATCTGACAGACTCTCCAGTTCTTTGCTATTTTGGATACTGGGAAGCCAAATCTGTGCATAAATACATGCTCCAGGGTCCATGGTCCCTTGTAAATCTCATTGAAAAATGCTACCCTTGGGTGGTTGATCAGCAGAACTGCTATAAATAGGACCTCTATCAAATATCTTGATATTTAGATTATACTGTACATTTTGTTTTTCAAACTCTTGGGCTAATATAACTGATGTTTCTAACTAATTCACGTCATCTTCGGTTTAAATAGGTCCATCATTAAAAAAAACTGCTTACAAAGCAACGAATTTCTTTATAGGTTGGTTTTATGTTTAGCAGAACATGGATTGTGGACCTGTTTCTGACAGCCATTATGAATTGCAGTAAATATTTTGACAAAAGCAACAGTGGTGGTAAGCCCACAAGAGAATTACTGAACTGGGTCAGACCCAGTTTTACGTAGCATTTTCTTTTTAATTGTGTGCCTGAAGATAAATATATCATTAAGAACAGAGGGTAAAAAAAGAGCTGCTTGTTTTAAAAGTGACATCCTCTATACGCTTATCTCGTGGAGCATGTTACATACCTGTACGAAGAGTGATGTATTTCCAGCCAATGATGCTCCGATTCAAACACAAATGACCCGGCCTGAAACTGAGAAGACATCCACAGCTCCAGAAAAGACACCTGGGCTGGCCACCCAGAGGAAAGAGGCGCTCACAAGCCCTCCTCCCACTCCGTGGAGGGAGTTTGCGACTCTTTGCTGAGAAGGCGTCTTAGGATCCTCTGCCAGTGCCCACTCTGCAAGCGGCATCACAGAGGACAGAGACATGCTCCCTGCGTCTTAGAAAATAAAATAAAAGAGGATGGCCTCCCATTGCTTGGCCTTTGAGTCAACTCTGTGTTTCACTGAGAAAAGCACCATTTTGAGCAACCTAGAGGAGATTCAAGCAGAGATGAAACTTGGGCTGGCTCAGAAATAGGAAGTAAATTATTTTCATACATTACTTAATGTCACAGAAGCAACCCTTAGAAAACAGGAAGAGAGAGACACAGAGAGGGAAAAAAATAGAGCCACAACTCACGTTTTTAGTAATTGTGACTATTGATCTAACAACCCATAAACAGAGACTGCTGCCTGGAAGTGGAGGCGTGCAACCCATTGCATTAGAGATGGGGTCATTCTGTGCAGGCTAGTGAGAATCAGAGCCAGTGTGGTTGTTGTCCTAGATATGGGTTGGAGCATCTGCAGAGCCTCCACGGGTAAGCCTGGAGGTTTCCGCAGGCCCAGAATGAGCAGGTACGATGGCAAGAGGCCTCACAAGGATCTCTGTGATGCTGTCTTTATTTAAAATTTGATATTACATTCAACATGGAATTGTTTGCATTCTTTTTTATTTTTAAGATATTGTACTAAAACATTGTCTTCATGGCTGAGTTTTGGGTACCCCTTAAATTCTGTACCCACAGTAAGATCCTCTCCCTCCCCACCCTAGTGCCTGCCCTGCTCTCTGACTTTGAAAGGAGCAAATACAGGAGTGATGGAGGGTGAAGAACACAATTATTCTAAATGGTGGAGGCTGAAAGGCAAAATGGATCTCTAAACCAGGATATGAGCTAACGGAAAGAGATGCATTTGAGGGTGAGACAGGGCAGACCAGATGCAAAATTGGCCACGCAGAGTGGTGGTGTGTCAGCCCCTTTAGGCGGTTTCCCGTTGCTTTGAAATGTGCCATTTTTTCGCTGGGGAGAGGGATGCTTTCTTGTTCTACTTTGCCGTCAATAATATCCAGCTGGTCTTGTATCCAAGCCTCATGTTTAGCTAGATTGGATTTGGGGGGCAATTTCATCTGGTCATCTGAGCTGGGCTTTGGAAGAACCAAATTATGTGGATTCTCATGATTTCCACTCCCCCTACCCCCAGCATCAATGCTCAGGCACCTCGCCGGCTGTGCAAGCCACTATGCATGCGACAGGCCACAGGGAGCGTGCGGTTGAGAATGAGAAAGAGACCGACGCAGAGCCAGGAGCAATGCGACTCGTCCATGCGAGCAGGCCTCAACTCGGCTGGCACGTGTACACAGCTACCCCTCCAGTGTCCCTTCCCCTCCCGCCGGACCCCAGACATTCCCAGAACCCAGCAACCAGAGAGTAAATGCCTGCCTGGCACTGACACCAGCATTCGTTCTGATTTATTGGTACTCGCACATGTCCCACTGTTAAATATCGTAAGAGCCACCCCTGGTCTCAACAGACATATAAACAAAGCATTATGGGAGCCCAGGGGAAGAAGGTTTGGGGAGTCTTCCTGGAGGAAATGACCGATGAGCTGGGCATTGCGTGATGCATAAGAGTTTGATGGGGAGAAGCAGCAGCAAGAGGCCAGCTGGGCAGGCCTGAAAATGCACAGAGGTTGAAGACTTGGGAGTGCTCCTCTGCCCCTGACAGAGGGCAACGGGCAGCCATGGATGGGGAGAGGAAGAGGAGGAGCTGGAAATTGAGCTGGTGCCAGCCAACGAAACACCCAAACTCTCATGCTGAAGAGATGGGCCTTCCCTGGGGTAGGGGAGATCTCCCAGAAGCTTGAAGAAAGCTTGGGAGCAGAGAGCTGTGGAAAAGGAGAGACTGGAGGAGGGAGGGTGAGCCAGGCTCCCTAGGCAGTGCCATGCCCACTCTCTGGGGTCTGGGCCAGATGTTGCCCCAGACTAATCAAGGAAGTCCTCAGGAACGAATCTGTCTCTATATCCCAAAAGCACTTCGATTTGCATTTTTCCTCCAAAGTTACAGTCTGAATGCACTTCAATAAAATAAATTAATGAAAAGATTTCCTGTACAAAAGTTGCTTAAAACACACACACCTTTGGAGATGATTGAAAATAAATATATCAGTGGATGAATGGATAAACAAAATGGGGCATGTCCGTCAATGAACTGTCATTAGGGAATAAAAAGAGAGAGGAGCGCTGACACCCGCTACAACGCGGATGAACCTTGAGGACGTGGTGCTGAGTGAAAGAAGCCACACACAACAGGCCACATGTTGTAGGATTTCATTGATGTGAAATGTCCACAATAGGCAACTCTGTAGGGACAGAAAGTAGATTAGTGGTTGCCTGGGGCTGGGGAGGGAGGTGAGTGACTGCTAATGGGTGCAGAGTTTATTTTGGGGGTGCTGAAAATGTTCTAGAATTAGATAATCATGATGACTGCACAATTTTGTGAACATACTAAAAACCACTAAATCATACACTTTAGAAGGGTGAGTTTTAAGATCTATGAGTTATATCTCAATATAATAAATAAACAATCACTCCCCTTCCAGTTTATCTAAGCACCATAATGTAATTCAACTCTCCAGAGCTTGCGACAGATAACCAATGAACTAAGCATGTGGCAATAGTCACCAAAGAAAAAGAAAAATGATTTCCAAAGAATGGTGAACTTGCTTTCTCGGGTCTCTTTTTCCCAAGGAAACAAACAAAAAAGATATATCACCCCCTTGCCAAGAGCCGGGCTCATTTGGCAAAATTGCAGTCTTCAACGACTGTTCTTTAAAACAAAGCTATCTCATGCAGAGAAAAGAACAAGCAGCAAAACCAGACGTGGTCAGACATCCTGGATCTCCAAGTGACACCAGGCAGGACCAGGGTGATGCCTCGTTGTGCCTCCACATCCTCGACACACACTCCCGTCGAGAAGCCGTGGAGGGGGAGCAGAATGGTCCCCTGCCTTTGGGGCTGGGTCGCTCCCCAGTCTCCACACGTGTAGCCACTTGGCAGAAAGCCACAGGGAGGGGGCTGGCTGCAGCTGGCCACCCTCTTGCAACTCTGAGTGCAGCCACCTGGCTCACCCAGGGCTGAGTGGTGAGGATGAGTCGGAGCAGGAAAGCTGGGGCCTGGGACCTGGCCCAGTCTCGTCTGCAAGCAGGGTGCTAAGAGGCGCTTCGCAGTGCCTCGGGTGAGTCAAATCAATAGTGACGATGAGACAAGTCTCTCAGGCTCATCCCCAGGTGCTGTCTGTCCCCCACATCCTGCTGTCTGCCTTTCTCTCCCCCACCTGCAGTGGCCCTCTTCAAAGCACTGAGCTGGCCTAGAACAGCGTCCCACACAGCATCGTGGTCCCAGAAGTACGTGTTAAAGAAATGAATGGGAAGGGATGAATATGTTTGTTTGTTTGTTTCAACACTCTTGTACAGACCACGGAACACAACTTATGAAGAACTACCCGAGACAGACCAAATCCCTTCCTCTCCAGAGACTGTCCCAGGACGGACACTCAACACATCTCTTGTTTTGTGTGTCTGCCCCTTCTCAGGGTCCCAAGTGTCATAAGTGATCCTTCGGGCATTCCCCTCTGTCCCCACCAGGCCCTTGCGCACACCCTAGTGCACACTGGGCCAGGTGCAGACGCAGAGTCAGCCCTCAGTCAACGCTGCAGAATGACAAACCCCATCAACTCCCTCACTTCCTGAGCCAAACTCAGACCTTGCACTGAGAGACCTACAAACTTACAAACCAGGGAGGACCTGCCTGATGTGGGAAACCTCAAAGGCTCCTTACAGTCTCTGATTGAATGCAGCGGGCTTCTCGCAGGGGCAGTGGGACATGCCCGCTCTGGGGCTCCACAGCCCCATACCTTGGGAACACACACACCGGGATTTTCACGTAAGCCCGTTCTCTCTTTGGGTTCAGTTCCCCTTAGGGTCCTCCACACAGCTCTCATTGTCAAAAGAAGCTTGTAATCACAGTCCACGTGTGATGAGAAATGGAGTTGTACCTGTTGAGTCCCTTTGGAAAGGAGCCCTCCACAGATGTGTGACATTGTGCTGATGGCTATTGTTCTCGTTTCTGGGCAGAGGGAAAAGTGCCTCCCCCTGAAGCGTAATTGCACGAGTGCCCCATGCAATTATCTGTCTGCACGTCCTCAGGGCCACTTAAACAATGTTTTTATTTAAAACATGATGCATCCAGCCAGTTTTTGATTATCCATGGTAATAGGGGTCAAGGATCAGCTGAATAATTGAAATGGAAACTTTATTCCCAGCAAGTTTCCCTCTCCTCCACCTCCTTCCTTCCTTCCGCCCAGGAGAGAGGCGCTGTTGGATTGTGGAAGGGGCGCTGGGCTGAAGTCTCCATCCTGCCCGGCCAGGGCTCTGTGACTGGCTTTCTGGGGGATGCTGAACAGCGCCCTTCCCTTCAGGGGGGCTGTGAAGGGAAAGGGCTGGACCACAGCCTGCCTTGTTCCTCATCACCAAGCTGCCTGTCATCTTCATTTATATTTATAACATATTTCTTCAAATTAACTTACTTTTATCATGTAATTTGTCCCAAGCTGTCATCATAGTTGATGTGAATATAGTTTTGTAATATCCATTAAAATAACTCCCAAAGGATTACACTTTTTAAAAAAAGATCTATCAAAAGATACCACCTGACCCTGGCTTGGATCCTAGAACAGAAAGACAACATTCACAGAAAGACTGTTGAAATCCTCATGAATTCTGGAGTTCAGTTCCAGTCATGTGCCAAAGTCTGCTTCTCAGGCATGACAGATGCCCCAGGCACCTGTAAGATGCTCACAAGGGGGAACCTGGGGTGAAGGAGGGCGGGAACTCCCTGTGCTAACTTCACAACTTTTCTGCAAACCTAAAATGATTCCAAAATGAAAAGATTATTAAAAAGAAAAAAAAAATGTTGCACGTAAAGTTAAAGAAGTTAAGAAGTTAAAAAAAA